AATATAGTCCTTGCTCGTACACAAGGAATTGTGTCAGTTACTCAGCTGAAGATTCTAAGAGTGTACAACAACTCAAGGGTTGCTCAAGTGTTACAAAAGGTAATATTACCCATGCAGTCATCTGTATTGCAATAGGCAATGTATACAGCAACGAGCAACTACAGTCTACTGGATTGCGTATGGGTCTAGAAATGAAAATACCTAGGTTCTTTTCCCATCTCTGCCACTTACTCACTGTGGATTAAATTCACCCATGTGCAGAGGGCTGGTGTCCAAGGTCTATGTATCACTTAAAACCCAATTAAGTGGGTCTTAAAGGATGCATTGTGCTGGTCTTATGCATAGGAATGAGTTTCACCCTGTGTGAACCTGAGCAAGTCACTTAATTTCTTTATACAGTAGAACCTCAGAGTTATGAACACCAGAGTTACGGACTGACCCGTCAACCACACACCTCATTTGGAACTGGAAGTAGGCAATCAGGCAGTAACACACACACACACACACACACAAAAGCAAGTACAGTACTGTTTTAAATGTAAACTACTAAAAAATAAAGAGAAAGTTTAAAAACAAAAATTTGACAAGGTAAGGAAACTGTTTCTGTGTTTGTTTCATTTAAATTAAGATAGTTAAAAGTAGCATTTTTCTTCTGCATAGTAAAGTTTCAAAGCTGTATTAAGTCAGTGTTCATTTATAAACTTTTGAAAGAACAACCATAATATTTTGTTCAGAGTTATGAACATTTTGGAGTTACAAACAATCGCCATTCCTGAGGTGTTTGTAACTCTGAGGTTCTACTGTACCTCACTCTATATGGAAAATGGGAATAATAATGTTTGCTCACCCTTGTAAAGCACTTTGAGATATGTGGAAAAGCACTATAGAAGGACAGAGAGAATTTTTGTTATGTTGCAGATTATTCACAGGAGGACCATAATGGTGACTTGTCATAAACCTTAATTTGCATAAAATGCCACAGATTGCATCTGCCCTCGTTTATGGGAGTACATCATGTGGTGTAAAGGTTTCAGCATGCAGTGCTCTGTCTGACTGGCCTGCCTCACATTAAGACAAAGTATTGCATGCTGGGACTTGTGGATTCTACCTGTCATACCACTTTTGTACAGGTGGGATTGATCATATACCACATTGCAGAACTCTGCAGCCTGCATTTGGCCTAGAGACTGCATTGTTTGCATTATCACTGTCATATAGCATTCTTTGCATCATTTCTGGCAGCACTCTCGCTACAAATGACATCACTTGCCCAAATCTGCTCTTATAGCAGTAGCTGGCAAAATTCCTATGGACTAGAATGGGAGCAGGATTGGATCCAATAAGGTGAATACACATCTCTAATTAGACTGTCAGAAGCAAATGGTCATGATTACTATCCAGCAGTCCAAAGTCTGCACAGGAGGCTGGTGGTATTTCAGAGTGAGCTGACTAAAATAACACTTAAAGATTTAAGAAAGACAAGATGGGTGAGGTCATATCCACAGAGCTCTTCCTCAGACAAGTTTATTACCTAAAACAACCTTTCAGGGTTACCTGAAGAAGAGCTCTGTGGAGCTTGAAAGCTTGTCTCTTTCACCAACAGAAGTTGAGCCAATAACAGATATAACCTCACCCACCTTGTCTCATATCCTGGAACCAAGATGGCGACAACAACACTGCAAACTTAAAGACATAGAAGTTACATACAACACCAAATAAAGATGATAGTTTGAGGGAAATCAAAAGTAGGCAGAGCCTAGTGTGTCCACCCGTGAGATACTTCAGGAATTCAAGAATGAAATTTTGTCTAACTGCAGGAACACTTGCAGTTCTTACTGTAAAAAAAGATCTCTACTGATCAAAAAAAAAAATGTGATACAACCATCGGAAGCTAATAGATTGTTATGAATATTTTCAATTAAAATTCCTGTGTTTACTTCATTTCCCCCAACATTCTTAGGAAAGTAGATCTGCCGAAACAACACCCTGAAAAATGTTTTCTACTCGTTGCATACATTTTTGAAAAGGGGGGTTGCTGTGTTTCAATGTGGATGAGTCAATGTTACTGAATGTTTATCAGAATGCCACTAAATAAGCTATGTGAAAATCGTAAAGAGCTTGGAGGCAAAAAAGAAACAGTTTTAGAGGTAGTAGGTACCACTTCTAGTGTAGGACCTGTACTGAAGTTAGTTCCTTTTCAAACTTAGCAGTGAAACAATTAATAAAGGAACCCATTAAGGTCTGATTGTTGCTGCTAAAAAGGAAGGTTGAATTTCAGTCCTTTGAAGTAACTGAGAATGATTCAGGCCTCATTACAGAGATATAATCTACATTCATACATTTATGTTAGTGATTCAAATCTATTGGGACAGATTGAATTCCGTTAAATAGTGCATCTTTCCTGTGGAACTTTTCTCAGGCTTTCTCAGGCTAACCTAAGAGGTGACCTAACAATACAAAGTAGTGGGGTATTTAGGGATTCAACTGTGCTATAAAAGAAAGGCTATACAGAAAGTAGAAAAAGGAATGAGATATAATCTAAAAAGCTATGTCAGCTTTTCATTTGGGCTCTGTTTTGTAAATGCCCTCCCTGTCATCACACAGTCTAGAAAAGGACTCGATCTGTTGTAGTGGTTTTAAGTACTGCACTAAGTATTGCACCTGCCAGAACCAGATTTAATATGAAACTTCTAAAGTTGCAATTTTTATTTTTGATTCATGCAACCAAGCAGAAGTTATAAATAGGTCTAAGCAGAATTTCTCACCTGAGCAGAAAATTCAGCTGTGAGGCTTTAAATAATATTTTAAGTAAAGCCTTTTTAGCTTCCAGTGATATTTTCTCTTCCCAGTGCAGAGAAACTCTAAAAAAAATTGCTGCATTTTGTGACATTTGTTAGCACAAAGGGCTATAATATGATGGTGTCATCAAATGTACAATTTAAGAGACATGTATTTTTAATTACTTGTCATTTTAAATTTTTTGAATCAGCTGAACTTTTGGCTGGAACACAAATCCCTCAGAAACCCTATACCGTATATTTCAGACATTGTGGGTAACCCAGGTATAAAACTATGAGCTAGAACATTGAAATTAACATTGTGGCCACATTAAAGTTGTCAGCCATTCATGATAGAATAAACTTTTTCTTTTTCTTTTCTCTTTAAGATTAGTAACTACAAAAATAAATCCTAAATCAAATTAAGCCCCAACATTTTCTGAAGCCTTTACCACAGTGAAAATATGAAGAATAAATATTCTGAAGTAACATAAACAACACCATAAAACATATTGATTCCAGCATTAAATGGTTCCATTTTTAAGGTTGTTTAAATGTCACCCGCAGAATCTAAGCACATAAATTTAAGAGCTGACTCTTTTGCCCTGAGTAAACATCAAAATTGGAGAAAATCATTTCTAATTTTTTACTGTGAAGTTAACAATATACTAAAGAGCCCAGCCTAATGAATCAATCTAATTTTATACCTATTTGTCTTTTATGTATTTTCTGCTGTTCAAAGTAAGATTGATTCCAAATGCACAATATAATGGCAGAGGCTGGTTTTCCACTGATCAGCATTATTTGCCTGTTTCAGACAAGTTCTATGTTTATGCACAGGATAACCCATTTTGTTTCCACATAATGTCAGTTTCCCTCTGTGATCTAGTCTCTTACTTAATAGTGTTTCGTTATCTTGCATTTTATACGGATTGTTTTACATTAGTGAATGCTCATGCACAGTTTAATGTCTTGTGTACCGACTGTCCTTAATCACGAGCAGGGACACTCCCTGGTCCCTTATTAAGGTATAAAAACTTAGTGCATGACACAGGGATGCCTGATAATTGTTGGTTAAAAAAAAAAACCACAGAAAACCATTCAGACAGATTTTATGGGGAAAACTTTGCAATCCCCATAAAAGCCCATTTTGCTTTGAAGTCCGACGCGTGATTCAGTCAATGACTCATGTTAGTAATTAGAAATTATAGGTCATTTAGATCCCCGATTTCATTTGAGACCAGGAGGGTGAGGGGAGATAAATCTTGAGAGGCTTAAAAGGAAGAGCAGGCTAAAGTGTGAACTTTTTATTTCAGCAACGGAAGCGAGAAATCAATGGTACATTAAAGGGGGGGGAGAGACCTCCATGGAAGCTGGCAGAGGGGAAGGAAAGGGAGCTAATTATGTCTCTTCCCTTTTACTCTCCTTGACCAACATATAATCTTACTTTTCAGGGCTTGTCTGCACTATATTCTTCTAACCAGTCTCGCCCCCGATCCCTTCTCTAGCCCAGGAAGGGGGGTGGGGGAAGTCAGCACAGCAACAAGCTCCAGGTGGTTCTCTCAAGCACTTCACTGCCAAAAAAATAAAATAAAACCCTGCGCTAGAAAACAAGCATTTAAAAAAAAAGGAAGAAAGGAAAGAAGGGGGGGTTCCCTAGAGGGGATTGGCTCAGCCTGGAAGACAGGGAAATTAGTAAAGCATGAGTCTCCAAGCCATGCTGGTGGCCAGCACTCGGAGGAGAAGAACGCTTTAGGAGCAATTAGCAAAGAGCTGAAGATTGCTGCTTCTGCTGCAGACGGGGAGGAAGCAAGGGCAGTTCCGTCCGGCGGCTCCCTCCACAGCAGGCATTGGCTCACTCCAGCTGCAAAAGGGTTTCAGATGTCCCACCGCTGCTTGACCCCCTGCAAACAAGGGTTGACCACCAGAGGCACATCCCACCTCTTGCTTGTAATCACTGACATACACTGAGGCTACAGCTTCCAACCTGTTTACAACCAGACGGGGGAGAGAAGTTGGGATTTTTCTCTCTCTCTCTCTTTGGAATTTTTTTTTTTGGGTACTTTCTGAAGGATTCAAAGCAAAACAAAGAAACTGCCTCCTCTGGGCTGTCAGTGAGAAGGGACGAGTTGTACAACTGGCTTGCGCTTTGCCAAGGAAAGGGGGTGGGGAAATCAGAAGAAGGTGCAAAAGCCATCAAGTGTGTATGTGTGTGTGTAGGGGGTGGTCTTGGGGCAAGAAACCCCTTCCAGTACCCCCTGGGGTTCTAGTCGTTATTTATTTTTGCTATCGTTGTTCACTCTGCTGTCATCTATTTTTCAGACCTTTCTGCATCTAAGATGGTAAAGAAAGGAGGGAGGAAGAGAACGAAATAACCACGGGGAAGCCTCAGACCAGGTTGGGGAGGGGGGGTGAGAATAAAAGGAGAGAGGATTAACCACCACCACCACCACACAAAAACCCCACCAACTTTCTTCTGTGAGGGAGGACTCGAAGGATTAAAAAGGCAGCAACTTCTGAGGCGATTTGTCCCGAGTTATGGATGTTGGTGCACTCACTTCAGGCCAGATCAGAGCTCAGAGGGCTCTAACCAGAAGCAGCAGCCACCAGCTCTCCATTTGCCTTTTACCAGGTTTTACCCTTCCAGTATGTTTCTTCTGATGAGACATTTTCCAGCGCCCAGCGTTTCAGTACAATGTGCAAATGGATACTGACAAATGGTGCCTCCGCCTTTTCCCACCTGCCTTGCTGCGGGTGCTGCTGCCTCTTCCTGCTGCTCTTCTTGGTGTCTTCTGGGTCTGTCATCTGCCAGGACATGCGGTCCCCGGAGGCCACCAACGCGTCTTCTTCATCCTCCTCCTCCTCTTCATCCTTCTCCTCTCCTGCCAGTGCGGGGAGGCACGTGCGGAGCTACAATCACCTCCAGGGAGATGTGCGCTGGAGGAAGCTCCACTCTTACAACAAGTACTTTCTCAAGATTGAGAAGAACGGCAAGGTCAGCGGGACCAAGAAGGAGAACTGCCCGTACAGTAAGTACTGATTCCCCGCAGCCCCCGAGAACTGAGCGCCCAGAGGGAGCCTAATCAATATCACACCCCTCCCCCCAGAAAAGCCCTACACAACCAGGACAGTCACCCCACTACTAGTGCATCTCGTTTGCTCACATGCCACCCCCCACCCTGCCATCCAAACTTTTAGTTCTCAAGAGCACTTGCTTGGGAAGGTGACAGGGAGAGGTGGGGTGGTGTCTCTTTGGACTCTGCTCGCTGCATCCTTCTCCTATCTGCACATCTCATCTCTCTCCAGAAATTTGTTTTGCAAATGGTTTGAGTGAACACAATTGGTTTCCTGGGCTGGCAGAAAAGCAACTTAGAAAGATTTGTAAAGGGGGGAGGGAGGGTATTTTCTACTGAGTCTGAAAACAATTATCCCCTGTCATTAGAATGGTTTGATGTGAACTCTAGTTTAAAACAATACATTGATTCCCCGCCTCCCTTTAAGCCCCACAAGATTTATCTACTTCTCTCTTTCCTCCCCCCCCCCCTCCCCGCCCCCCATCCTTCCACTCCCCATCCCGTGAAAAGTGCTTTTCTGGTTTTGATTTCTGTCCCTGCATGTTGTTGGGTTTTGAGCGATTGCAGCCCATGAAGTTAACTTTTAAGGCACTACTGCTGCTATTTGTCTTTGCCCTGCCTTCTCTCTGGTAACATGATGCTCATGTCTGCGTTGTCAATAGCATATGTGCTGCTTTGTGGTGTCCTGTTGTACTCTTTTCTTCGGAAAGCTCTCATATTGCAGCACTGCTATACTACTATTGCATCGTAAACATCTGGGGCTGTACTCATACGGACCTCACACACATTTCATTGTCATCGTTTCTTAAAGAAGAAATATTTTCAAAGTAAAAGTCACAAGGCTGTTTCAGTGGCTGTACTTTACCCCGTAGAGTGAACGTTTCTCTAATACTAATTAGGCTTCTAGTAATATTATGTCTCTGGTAATATATTTTTGGTAGTCAGTCTTGAGAAATGTAATTTTTGTGCAGGCAAGAAAATGAATAATTCAAGTGGAGTGGGGTGGGGAACTGTAGTAAATACCAATACATTGTAGTAAAAACATTGTACAATACATTGTAGTGTAATTTTAAATGCCAACACCCCTGTGTTGGAAAGGTAGCCTGTGCTATACCAATGTTTGAGAAAGCTACTTTATTTGATCTTACCGGTGAAGAGCAGCTGGTTGGGCTTAGGTTGTTTTTGTAAACCCAAATATACCTAGGGATATATGCCCTGCTAAACTAAAAATAAATGGGTAGCTAAATGAGAGCTGCTTGAAACAGTAAGTAAAGTACAGAGTGTGGTTTGGCAGGATGCCATGTTATATGTTTAAAAAAAAAAAGATTACAGTTAATTCTCCGGTACTTGTATTCTTTCTTTACACCTCCATAATATGCATTTTTTTTCATTTGAGTTCTTGTGTCATTGCTTCCACTTGCTACAGCTAGCAACTTATTTTCATATTTTATATTATCACAGGTGTTAATTCTGCAGTGTTAGACCTATGTTTGTAATGCTTTAGGGGTCAAAGCAGATTGGCTTTACCATGTAGTCTTTTAATTTTCATAGAAAATAGTTTTATGAGATACAATCATATGCTGAAGACTTCATTTTGGTAGGTTAGCCTGTACCTCTAACTGTTACCATTGTTGTACCATGTTTCTTAATAGTGCAGAGTACTGTGCTTCTCAGAAATGTTTCTAAATGTGTACTCCTCTACTTGTAAAATAAATAGGTTTTGTGTGAGCATATTGCTTCAGGAAGGGAATGGGAATTAATGTCTGATTCTGCAGACATTAATGCAGGCACGTAACTTTACTCAGGTGAGTAGTCCTATTTTAATCAGTACAACTATTCATTTGAATAAAGTTACCTACATGTGTAAGTGCCTACAGGATGAGTCCCTAACTGAGGAAAGAGAATAAAGGGAAACACAAACATACACATGATCAGAGCCCCAATCTTACAGTCCTTAGGTAGGAGCAACTCCCCTTAATCTATCTGGCATTATGCCTAGGACTTTTTGTTTTTCACCTAACACATAATAAAATTAGAAGGTAGTTGATATTCTTGTTGGCACGTCATAGATATTTTCAGATTTGCAGAATGTTTGTCCACAGTGCCAAAAATTAAATAAAACATAGATTTGTTTACCTGTTTTTCCCCCCCATGCACAAAAGAACTTCAGAACGGCCATACTGGGTCAGACCAATGGTCCATCTAGCTCATTATCCTGTCTTCCGACAGTGGCCAATGCCAGGTGCTTCAGAGGGAATGAACAAAACAGGTAATCATCAAGTGACATAAGTCAAGCATTAATTCAGAACTACAAAATAATTATAGCTTGTTATCAGCAAAGTTTACATAAAGTAAATGAAGGGCACAGTTTCTTCAAAATGAATAACTTGAGAGTGCTTAAATGAAGTACAGTACTGGAATACCTTTAAAAAGCAAACCCAACTGGATATATAATATTTTAGGAAATATTTAAGTTTTTGCTATCAGATCAAAAAGACTCAAACACCTACACTGCTCTTTAACTACATACCAATGCTAATTAAAATGTCTTCATGAAAGTGCACAACTGTGTTAAATGATCCCCACCTATGTTGCCTTGTATTTCAAGAACATCCATATCAAAACATTGTAAGTGAAAAGCATAGGTTCTGTGAATCATAATTTAACATCTGGCTATGTAATCAGAACACCACCATGATCTCCAGATGGACTAAGTCAGTGGCAGTATTTTGTATCATCATTAAAATATTGTCTAAATGTGTAATTACATGTGACTAAACCTCTGCCATACCTAAGGGGTAAGCCATCTAGCCAGCCCATCAAATTGTAGTCTGTTAAATATTAGGGTGTTTAACCTCTGAAATAAGTTCCTCATCCAAAATCACATTTCCCTAGACAAATAATGATTATTATTGACACACATGGCTTTATTTTTAAATATGTTAATTTGGGGATTAATTTCTTTCACTCAGATGCTAATGTTTAAAATCCAGTTATACTACAAAAAATGTTATCTACGGGGCTGCAAGCTTCTGATATGCTGCGTAATTAGACAACAGTTTTAATGGCTGCTTGCCTGTGAAATGCTATGAAGTAAAAGAAACAGTCGGAGAAAGTCAGGATAAACCTTCAGAAAGTACAATTTAGTTTCCAGTTCCTAAAATGGCTCAAGAAGCATTCATAGCTTTGCTCTATAAATATTATATAGTATGCACTAAATAAAGGTTTACTTTGGCAGATGTTTTCCAACTTGATTACACCAGAACTGTTACCTCAGCCTTTACATACCTCCAGGATAACGGAACGGGTGAATTATGACTATTCTGTAAGAAGTCTGGGGGAGCTTGCATAATTTATCATAGCTGGAGTAGATCTGTCACTAGATATACATAGTATAGTTTAGGTTTTGTTTTATTATTCTTTACATCTAGAGCTTTGCCCTTGAAACTCTACCACTCAGCACTAGTTCTTCTTACCTCAGTGTTGCAGCTGCGAGGTCCTCTTGCTACAGCTCCTGATAAGTCCATTTCTAGAAGTGAATAAAACAGCTGTAGTGCTCTCCAGTGACTGTGAGCATGTGTGAAACAAAAGCCCTGAGTAATTACAAAAGTATTGCCTATAACTTGACATCTGAGATGGCTAAGAAGAGTTTTGAGCTTTTAGCATATGTAAAGATAGAGGCATTGCTGTGTGTAGACATATGGCCCAGTTGCACCTTATTGGAATTAGTGGGATTGCGCAGGTCTAATGGAGAGTGAATTTTGGCCCATATAACATATGATGAGTTGGCTAAGGTAAACATACATTATGTCTTTTTAGTATTACACTGTCAAAAACAATAAAAAATTGACTAAAGAGTCAACTGTCTGAAGGCCTTGAAGTATGCAAGATATGAATGTTAATAGGGATAGCAGTAACCAGGGAAGAGGGTAAAATATGAACTGCATAGTTATTAAGTTCCGCAGCCTAATAGAGATTGCAGAACTGGGCTCATTTATTTATTTATTTATTGAATTAAATCTATGGGCCTGATCCAAAGTTCATTGAAATCAATGGAAGATTTCCCATTCACTCCCGTGGGCTTTCACTTTCAGTAAGGCTTTATGTGCACAGTGCTGTACAAAACATACTGTAGAAGGTAGCACAGCAACCACCAGAAGGAACTTACACTCAAATTAGGCTGGCACCATAGGGGTTTCTGAGCTAGTGTGAACTGATGCAGCTATATTTAAATCAATGGAATCACACTGATTTACAGCAGATGAGATTGTATCTTATAGTATACCTACTTATTGACTTCAGTGGGCCCTTGTAGTCTTTGCATTGACTTCAGTGAACTTTGGATCAGATATATAATGCACAAAGAAAATCTACATCAATGTCACCTATGTTAACAGTGGCACATTAGATTAAGGATACATGACTATTTAAGAAAAATCTACTAATTTCATTGTCTCTTGTAATTGTTTACAGCTGACAAGCCAATGTTTAACTGTTCCCAGGTGTAATAAAACCATTTAATTTGATTGTAAATAAAGTGAGAGAGCTGCAATAAGATCAGATGCACAACTTTAAATAGAAGACTAGAACATTGAGCAAACAGTGCTATCTTAATACTGCATATTATTAAAACAGACTGTATGAGATCACTTTAATTCTTTCAGAGTTGGTTTAGTATATTAAACAATATTATTTTAAATGAAAGACTGCTTTCCAGGCTGATGTATTTCCCTGGTGTCACTTTTTGCAAAGAGTTACATGTTGTTGACAGTTCAAAAATTAAAAAAAAAAAATTGACCTCAGGAAATCATATACTGCTTCCTAATAAATACTTTTGTTTCCTGGGAAGGAAATCTATATATTTTTATTACTTAACTGGTATCTCATTTAAGTCTAGGTTGTTCCTGGAGTTCAGTTACATAATTTATAACCATCAGCATACAAGCACAGACACT